GATTTGCCAGCGGTCGCAAGGGTTAACGGCGCGCGGGATTCGGCGTTCTGGCTTATGTTAAACAGACGCGACCGGCCGGCCCGGATAATGGCTCCGCGCTCGTGAAAGTGCTCGAGCAGGCTGCGAAAGGGTCGTCGATGCTTCTTCAAGGTGCCGGGCGCAAAGTGAATTACCGGCGTCGTTGAGCCGTGAAAGTGAGAGCGCGAGAGAATGAGACGGACGGAGGGAGAGGCGGATAAGTAGATAACGCGATTAATGCGCGGGCACATCGGGCACCTTCCTGCTCTCTATGAGAAGGTGTAGGATTATCCTTACCACGTTAGATGCCACGGGATCACTCGTGGTCCTGAGCGCCACGAGTTAGACACATGTTAGACGAGAATATCCGACACCCAATAGCTCTTTACGGTTAATTTGAAATTCAATATAGCTTAATATATCTCACGTGGATTGCGTAAGAAGATTTACTTTTGCCATATTACACGTAATCTAACACGCCATGGGAAAGCACAAGTTATGTTTTTATGGTTGTACAGCGGTGTTTGAGAACGGGCGATCCGGCTGCGCGAGCCGTAAATAATCGCGCGCGTTTGTAAGCCGTCGAATTACATTTGCATCTGTAAAGGCGCGATTTGCGCGATGCGAGAAGGCGGAACGCGCGCGGCGCAAACACTCTCGTCGTCGGTCGGTTTCGGACGCGGGAAGGCGAATTTATGCGATCGTTCGTTAGCGGTGATGTAGTGGCCGTATCGTATTACGGTGCGCGCGCGCGCGCGCGGTTTTAGCCGGAAATGCGTATCGCTTAAGCGAAGGCGAATAAAGCGATGATTAAGTAAGAACCGCGCAGACGGTCTTTAACCCGCGAGCGTTCGCGTCGGGAAACATGCCCACTTTAAATTGAAATACTAGCTACATAAAATGATTACCATTAATGTTTTCAAGTACATATTTGTGCACTTCGGAAATTGAATCGTTTAAATTATATCAAACATTAGAAAAAAATAATTATCCTTTTGCACAATATGCAAAATTGAATATAAAATGTTAATTTGAAAAAAATTAAAATTAATTTTTGTGATGTTATTAAAAATTTAAATTAAAAATTAAACCATAATGCAGCACTCTAAAGCAGTGTTGAAATTTTTCAACCAAAAAGGTCGGCGATGATGAATTTCCGGCAAAGTAATTTTCTCTCGAGGCAGGAACTTCTAATTTACTTGAAGCGAATAATAAAAGCAACGTGGCGAAGATAAGCCGCGTGGAAAAATTAGCGCAATTACGTAAAGCTGGACCGCGTTGCTCTTTCTAAACGACAACGCGACGATGAAGCGTGATGCAGAGCGATGCAACGTGGCGTGATAACGAGTTGGATCGTGGTGCACCGCGTGGTGCAAGCACGGCCGATGATATCGCCGTCTCGCAATCAGGCTCGATTAATTGCAACGACATGATAACCGCGAACACAATAAGCGCGCTGCTCCGCGGGAGGTAAATTCACGCTACACACGTGCGTCGTCCGCAGGTGGATGATACACTGGCTCGCACGCACGCATGTCACGCTATTTATTGCGCCCGATAAGTGCGCACGCTGCTGCCGATTATGCGTTCGATTCCGGCTTTCGTTTAATTCGCAAAAATTCGTAAAATGTAATACGCATATGCATAGAACTGGATGATAAACGTCATGCAGGAATGTTAACACTGCAGTGAGATTAATATCATAAAAATTTGTAAAATCCACGCGCGACAGACAAGCATTTGGAGAAACAACGCGTTGTTAATAACAAAAATTATTTTTTATCTTCGATTTATTAATAATTAATTGCAATTATTTATTTAATGTTAAACTACTTGTGAGCGACTATATGTATAAATAATGTTTCTTTAAAAAATTTGAAAAAAGTAAAATTACTTCTTAAGTTGTTAATAAAAAGTAAAATTATAATTCTACTATATAAGTTATTTTTTTAATACTCTTTAAAACAGTGTTGAAATTAAGCGGTTAATATTGTTAAATTAAAAAAAATTAATTTAGATATAAATGATTATTACTCTTTCGCACAGACTACTCATACAGATGAAATTAAACAAGTATTCGGTAGAATGAAATTTCGCAGCACACGCACGATTCATTGCTGGTACCATTTGGTGCAGACGTAGTTTCGATTGTCCTGATCTATTACCCGGCAGGACTACTCGTAGGATACCATCACATGACCCGTTTAATCAGATTAATCCGTCCACAATTACAGTTAATTGCAGCCTGGCACATCCACTTTACGATCTCTATTATCTCGTAGTTTGTTCTTCCATTTATTATCATTTTCTCTCTCGACCTGACGTTCAAATTAATGTTCCTTTCCAAATAAGCGAAAAAATTAAAGATAATTTGTCGAAATAACATTAAACTTAATTTCCAAATGTAATAAAAAAAACTGGAACATTTTTGTTGTAAAAAACACATTTTCCCCAAGTTTGTTTTCAACACTCAAAAAAATATTTCGCTGATGTAGTTAGATTTCTAAATATCGCAACAAGAATGTATCGCTATTTTTCGTATCTGTGAAAACATTGTTTGTCACATACAGAATTTATAGCAGTAATGTTCTAGCAATAGCTTCTGAAAAATTTAGGTACCATTGCTAAATGTTATTCATTGCATGATCTAACACGTGATTGATCTTATATAGATAGGCGCTTTAGAGAAACTTTCTTTTTAAAGTTCACAAACAATACAGATATATATTCTGTTTCTGTCATCTAAACTGACTAAGTAATTACATATGCAATATCACAACAGTTGCTAATCATTTATCTGTTTTAGTTAATTTTTTACACCTAGAAAATTTTAGCTATTATTGCAAGATCATTTTTTTGAGTGAACCAGTTGTATAAATTCAAATTTTAGCTTTTTCTTTTTGAAGTACGATTTCTGATGCGAAATCATTTTCCGCGGCGTCAATCTCTGTGCTCGCTAAAGACGCGGCGTATGGTAATGTCTATAAGTAAGTCGCGTGCATGCAGGTCGATGCACTTCTGAGGATATATGCGCCAAGTCGAATGTCGATGCACGACGGGCGTAGACAAAGGATTGATTACACGGTGATGTTAGGCCACAAGGGCAGCGACCTTGTGCTGGCAGCTTATCGATGCGATTTAACCTCGATGCGGTGCGCACAAAGGGCAACCCCGGATGGAAAATGAAAGCCCGCGCAAGGAGAATTTCAATTATCGGCTAGCAGATCGATTCGGCTTGCTGTTATGGGTTTGCTGCTGCAGCACCATGATAATGAATCCCTTCATGCCCCTTCCCCTCCCCCTCCCCTTCTCGCCCCCCCCCCGAAAACGGTCAACCCAAACTTATCGTATCGATGTTGCGCGCCCGCAAAGTTTACGGCAAGCAGCATAAAAACGAGAACCATCGACATGATTTCGTTTCCACGAATGTTTTATGGATTCTTTTGTAGCGAGTTCCATTCGGACACAACATTGCGTGATTTAGTAATGACTTTATCGTACTTTTTTTTTAATACTTCCGAAATAAAATATGATGGTAATTTTTTTATAACAAAATTGCGTAAGCAAAGTCTTATAATAATCAGACTAAAAAAACTGTATTGATTCCGTTTCCGCGATAGAAAATACAATGCGCACACATGGAACGTTACACTCTGGCCGAAGGGCGACATTAGATAGTACTTTTCGACTATTTGATGTAAGGATTTACGCGGACGGATTTCTCGAGCCTCTCCGTAGCCACATCTGTTTTTCTTGCGTGTTTGCCTTGCAACTTACAGTTCGGCTTGAAAATTGGTAAAGCTCGTAATCCCGCGGGGTTAGTAAAGCCTATGTTTATAAAGTATCCGAGATTCGCTCTGCTCTAGACAAAGAACCTCGTTTTAAGTCCCTCCTGATCGAGCCTGTCTGCGAAGCAAATTTCCTCCTCCGTTCCGTCTCCTTTGTCCGCGTGTTTCCATACTTCCAACGTTATTTTTCGCATCGACTAACGCGCGCAATTTCTGGTCGAATTGCATTCATTATTCCTGGATTTTTAGATCCGCAGAATATTGAGTAGTTGACGTTTTTCTTCTTACATGCTCGAAATTTTCTGTCTCAGCAGAAGTGTTCGCTTCTAAAATCTTGCAATCTCAATTTCGCAAGTCAATCGCTTTCTTAGATTAATTAAATTTATAATCGACATTTTATCCTACAACAAATTTAATTTAAAAACGTTCAACTAAAAAAAATCTAATTTTAAAAATTAAAAATTTGCGATAGATTATCTCATATTTATTGAGATATCAAATTTGCGATAATGTCTATAAATATAAAAGACTACACTGAGAAAAATCTCTCGGAAAAAACTAATACAATGCTGTAGACTTTATTTTGTCAGATAAGTAACTTTAAATTGTAATGTAATGGAAAATAGAAAATACACAGATTAGTTACAATTTTGTAGCAAATTTATTTTGTCAAATGCAAACACAAAAATTGTGACTCTGTGAAACAAACGCGCAAATAAATTTTATTAATAAAAAATAAAACATTTTTTTGCAGCGTTTTGGATAATTATAATACATTAAGAGTGATTTGTTATATACTGGTTATGAAATTGTGCTATAAAATTCAGATAAAATTTATTGCGTTATTGTAGTGTTCTATAAAATAATATTCTTAATATTTAAAACAGCTAACATTAATTTATAATAACGTTTTACTTACTTTATCATATAGTTTATAGTCACTGTAAATATAATTTGTTCACTTTACTTTAAACATAAAAAATCAACTGCTTTACAATAATTGTTGATATTTTTTCTACAATTTGTCATAAAATATTCTGGCGTCTGCGTAATACGAAGCTACGCGCAAGCACGCGAGGCTTTTTCCGGTCTGTTTCTGTTCTTCAGAGTTTAGCTCATTGTGTGCGGTTATGATTGTGTACCGATTATCAAGTGTTAAGAACTATTTTATTGTGATCTTATCCTATACTCCACAATGGATTCTTTTGTAATGAACACATTAAAAGAATGGGGACTAGAAGAATTGATTCCAACATTTGCAGGTAAGTTCTAAAATGAGGCAATCAAATAAGATTGACACGCGACATTATTTAGGTTATAATTTTTGATATCACGCTGGATATCACGTGGAAACTTTGCCGGTTCTGAATCATTTTATAATTTTTGTTCTAGCTCAAAAAATTGACACCGAGGTATTTAACACCCTTACCGACAATGATATTGAGAGCTTGATAAGTGAAGTGGGCACCAAAAGGAAATTTTTAACAAAACTTAAAAAATTCTGTACTTCCTGTTACTGAAAAGGTAGGTTATAAGACATCAATGCGCATTTATCAACGCCCGCGTGTAGATGAAAATTGTGTACACCAAGTCACAGAAATGCCTTCCAACATGAATTGCTGCATATAGGGATATATATTAGTTATAACAATATATATCCCTATATGCAGCAATTCATGTTGGAAGGCATTTCTGTGACCTGGTGTACATGCGTTAAGAAAAGTCCATCAAATATTTCGATCTTTCGAAAATCCTGAAATTTATATCCGCACGTTAATGAACGCGCAGAGATGACTTATCGTATGTGGGCAAGTCCGTAAAGCTACACGGAAATCCAGTGAAAAAATGAATGCACGTTGATAAATGCGCGTAAATATCTTAAGATATCTCTCTTCGTATGTGGTTTGGAAATATTTTTATAAATATATGTTATTACTATTTGGCTTGCTAAATACTTTTATAAGTATACTATTACAAATTTTATGAGATTTTGATACATTTCTTTAAAATTTATCTCCGTTAATCAACAATAATTTTTGTCGAAAATCTAATATCTATGATTTAATAAATTATTTATCGAGAGACACGGTAGTGTCTCGCGCCAAGTTTACGCGCAGCGCGCAACGCAAGTTGAACTATACGCAAAATTGTTTTCCTAAAAATAATTTCTTATTACATATATAAATACATTATTATTACTTTTTATTACTTTGAAATTTCACTTTACTTCACTTTAATTCACTAAACATATGTTCAATTTCTATTAAATGATTAAGTTCACTATGATCATATTAAGAGAAATAATTAAAATAATCGAAGAACTCTCGAATATTTAATAATAAACACGTACTTTTATTATTTTTATTTTAAATACGCAAAGAAGATTGTCTGATTACGGTATATACTTAGAAGCCTGAATTTAGTGTCATAATAAGAAAATTCAAAAATAAAATAACGGATTAAATTTATAAAAAATTGTTTAAATTGCATGAAAATTTATATCTGGGGGTTCTTGGTATCAATAATTTCAAATTCTATGTCCAAATTGTAAAAATAAAAAAGAAAGCTGATTTAAAAAGACGTTCGAATTTTGGAAAATTGTTCGAATTGCGCGAAAATTCATATTTGGGTTTGTGGTACCGCTGATTTTTAAATCAATTTCCAAAATTAAAAAATCAAGAACAAAATAGCGTTCTGGTTCCTATATTCTAAAATTCTTTTTTACATTTATTTTTATTTTCAGATTTTTAGTGAGATAATCTTTGATACTGACTGGGCCTCATCTAGCACGACAATTTTATCGTCGCTATCTGATATAAATCCAAGTCCATCAACTTCCAGTGTTCCATCAAAGGATGAAGAAATTCTGATTAATAAAAAGAGTGTTTAAATAAGGCTACAGTGGGTTTACCACGTAAAATATATGCTAACCAAAACTGTAATTCTGTAAGTTATGCTCACATACACATACACGTAAAAATTTTTACTTATATGTAAGGTTATCAAAGTTTGTAATATGTAAAACTTTTGCGTAGGCATTTATATCTAAATATATATTTTATTCATTAAAAATATATTTCTTATTACTTCCTCATACATTCCATAGTACAAATTGTAAAAATATCTTCTACAATTAAATGTAGAAACATATAAAATGCTAGATGATTATTACTATTAATTTTATTTAGTACTTTTACAATTTGTAGCAATCGATATTTTATTTTGCTACAATAGTTTTACATTATAATTTCTTTATAGAATTTTGTTTTATAAGTTGTAATAAATGCTCTACACAAAAGCATTTATAGTCCTACAAGTTGAGTTAAATGTTGCTATAAATTATTATTATAGTTTACATATACATGCCTATAAGTATTTACTACAACTTATTGCGCGAAGTTCTATTAAATGTGGTAGATTTTTTAAGTCAACCGCTACTATATTTTCACAACAAATACAATAAATTGCAATAAAATTATTTAAAATTACAACATTTTTTAGCTTTTGTTGATACTGGAATATTTTACAATCTTAAGCAGTTTGTCAATTGATTTAAGACAGGTTTTTTAGAACAATTTTTTAGACTCATTTATTACAATTTATCTCTGTCCCTATTTGTACTATTATTTGTAGAAGAGCATTTTACAATTGTACTATCTGGTGCTACATTTTTTTCTGAGTGTATTTCAGACATTTCCTTATAAAATATTGAAATATACCATTCGCGATCGAAAAAGTTGAAAAAGTCAAGCGGAAGATAACACTAACCGCGGAGATGGCTTCTTCGCAATAATTTACAAATAATGGGAAGACGCATTCAGAGGCGTGCACTCGAATCGATAGCTATTTATGCTCTAAGAGAGCGGCGTATCGGTGAAACGGTATAATCGACTCTCGGCCACCGGCTCTGGAAATCTCACGAGCCGATGACCCGTAGCTCCCTATCAAGCGCGATGAATCATGGCAGAGTGCCGCGATAGGATTGTTCGTTGATAATCGAGTGTGGCCACACGAGAGACGGTAAATCATACGTCGCTCGCGTGCAAAGAACGCGAGAACCTCTTGTTGTCGGACCGTTCGCGCGAGTGTCGTATTTTTTTTTATTTCGCCGCGCAGAAGTCAAACAGTGGTGCCGTAAGTTTCGAGCAGCCTGCCATTTGAATAAAAACGTTTAATTTCTCTCTACATTCTAATGTATCCGGATACAAGTTCTATTTATATTCCAGCGTTCTCTTAACATCAAAGCTGCTTAGATTCTGATATCTAAGAACTTAAATTCTTCGATTCACTATTCGAATACATTCACGGGCTTAAATTTCTTCACTATTAGCGAGTTTCGATTATTTTGACACTTGGCTATTAATTTTCTACGTTCTTTAATAGATAAATTTCTAAAATTTCAGGAATTACTCGAAACTCACTGTGCGTAGAATATTTAAATTGGTTACAGAGATCTCCTCTCGCGATATCCATTTTAACATCTATTCGAGAGTTTTCCATTTTAACAAGAATCAAAGAGTCAAAGCGTTTGCTCATCGAAATTCCTAATAGGAATTCTCCATATCCGCCTTTCGTTCGGCGGAAAAGCGGCTCGCGTGCTGCGTTATTCCGCCAATGATTGTTTCGCCGTACCATCCCTGCTTTTCCTCGAAGAGGGCTTCCACGAGGAAGCATGCTCCACCATGCGATCTACACGTATCCGTCTCGCTGCTCCCTTTTTGTCCTTGAGGGCCGATCGAACGTGAAATTACGCGGTGGTCTCCACCACGTGGAAGAGATAAAGAAGCAGAGAGAGGGGGGGGGGGAGGGATGGAGACGGAGAGAAACCGGGGAAACGAGAAGAGGAGGACCGGGCGGAGGATAGCGGTCGACGACGATAATGTCCGGCCGTGAGCGTTATTCCGGTGGGTGGATGTGTTCGCGCTGGGTTCTTATCTTGCGCCAGGACGACTATTTGTTCCACGCAACGCGTAAATTACCGGCAATCGAGCCGCGGGGGGAGAAAGCGGAGGTAGCTGACGATGCCATCACGCTGTGAACCTGTAGGTCGTCTGTACGCGTAAACAACAACAGTTACAAATTCACGTGGAAATTGGATAGATTATTTTTTGCGTGTAATCGATACACACGGACGACAGTTAGACGATAAGATTCTTTTCTGGTTAAATAAAAATATTATTTTCACTTTTGTTTGATATAAGAAATTGTTAGCTTCTCACATAATTTATATAGTTTATAATCCGCACAAGCAGAAACCTCATTTAGATGTCACGCATGCAAAAGTAATTTTACAGTTCACGTAGAACGCGCGCGGCATATTTGCATAAAATCTTGAGTTTGAATTTTCTCAAAGTTTAACAAGATCATCCTCTCTATTATCTCTCGGTCTCTTGAATGCTCGGCCAATATTCTTTCTATATTCTTTCTCTCTCTCTTGCCTTTCTCTCTCTTTTTTTTCTCCTCATTTTCCACCTTTTTGCTCTTTTTTCTTTTCACTCGCAGTACACCAAGTTTCACGCTTGCGAGACAGCTTATAGCTCGAAGGATTCCTGTCAGCTCCTCTAAGACTCCCCCGAGGACTCGATTTGCTCCTGACCTCGGTGCACCATCCCTCGGCGCGGTCTTCGATGATCTCTTCATCCCGGCGTAACCGGCCCCGCTTCGTAATTGCCGACAACCTCTCTCCTTGCTCGCTCATTTAACCAGCTCGCGGCGGTCCAGATATCTTGGCGCGGAGAGGCGAAACTTGACCTAACGAGTGGATAATAGACCGCTGAGTACAACAATCGATTATTAAGGGATTTCCAGAGGTAGCCTGAAAACACGTCCTGGATACAGCAAAGCGGCGGCTTCGTCGCGAGGCGTTGCCGATACTTTGAATACTTGAATAATTTGTTATTCGAATAAATCGGCAATCTTCTCCCGAATAATTCTCATGTATTTTGATCGAGCGATTGCTCTGATTTCTAAGTGAAATTTACACAGCGTTGAAAATTCGATATTCACACATTCGCACTTTGAGAATTCCTTCCGTTACGAGTTTATCAAGATATTTCGCAAGGGTCGAGGTCTTCGCGTAAGGTCGCTGAAGTGCGCAAGAGAAGACGTTCCGCGAACTCCTCGTGAATATGCATCACGCGGTACTCGACGAAGGGAATTCCTTCTCTCTTTCTTCCTCTCGAGAATTATTCTCAGTCCTCTCGATCGATCGGCCCAGTCGAGTGCGTCGCGGTTTGTAATTGGCAACGCGGCAACGCACCGCGCAAATTGACGCCGCCGGCAAATATGGCTGCCACCGAGCAAGCAAAGCTCCCGCAGGCTGTTTGCGCTCCACGCCGCTTTTTCTCGCCAGTCAATTGATTCGAGTGCGAGAGTATATTTTGACGTACGTCCAACTCTTTCTCTCTCTCTCGAGGCAGGTATTCGAGACGCGCGCACGAGTGCAACCGCAACAGCAACGCAAATTAAGGAGGCAGCGTATGCGGCTTGCGAGATAAACGCGAGTGCGTTGAAGTACATTTCTACGCCGTCGCGCTTTAATAAGTCCCATCATTTGCATACCGTGCTTAACATCAAGCTGTTTGTGTGATCTTGAATAAGAAATACCTCGGGAATATGCTGAGACTAAAAATAGACCGCGTTGCTTTAAAATTAGAATAGTTCTTTATCTCTGTGATTTGGCATGATGAAGAAATGTGATTGAAAGCAAATGAGAAATCGAAAATACTGCGCGAGTTTACTTCGAAGGTTGAAAAAGAGAGCTTGAGTAATGATCCGTTTGTCCGACTTCCGAACAAGCTCCTCTTCTTCGACAAAGGTTTTCCAAACGTGGCCAGCTCGACGAATGCATCCTGAGGCGGTAGGCTTTTTGCGACGAGTCAATCAGTGGTCGATTGGCCGTGATGTAATTCATCGGTTACCGATTAAGTTAACCGGGAACGGCGGCTTGTAGAAATTTCGCCGATGGAATTTCGCGGCATCGTCCGATGAATCTTCCAATGTGTGAACATTGGACGAACATATTGCATCAGGAAATGCATTTATCTCAATGTGTGCATTTAATTTCTATATAATATGAAGCAGGATTCTGTGGGATTATTTTTCAAATGTCAAATACGAATGATATTCCGTTTTAATTGTAATTATTAAAAAATTCTTTTCAAAGAATATTGATTAATTCTTAAAAGAGTATCAGTGCACAAATATTAGATGCATGAATCTCCTTGAGCAGTATATTCCTCCATGAAGAAGTTATTTCCAGCGTTGTTACGCGCGCACAATGTAATGCTAACAATATAATAAATCACACGCACGCCAGCTTTTCCGCAAGAACGACTAGAAAATCAACCGTTACTTCACGACGAGATCTCAAGAGTATATATTTGTATATACGCTGTACAACCAACTACTTTAGGCTTTTTATTCTTATCCCGCGGCTCTCAAGATGTCTCAAGAGTTGACCCGAGTGCATTGTTGCATCGGGGGTCTTGAATTCACGAACCACCTGAGAGAATTTTCTGTCTGGAAAGAAAAATTACGCAAATTCTCGTTTTCCGTTATTGCGGCGAAAATGAAGATCTGAGCTTGGACTAAATTCACGACATTGCGCTCATCTCGGTAATATCTTCGGGAAGTTGAGCTCGCGATGTCGGACATTAGTGTAATTGGTCGGGACTGAAATCATTCAGGAACATCGCAAGACAGATGAGATATCGGCGCCAGCTCGTTTTCTAGATTCACCGGACGAGCGCAAAGCACTCGAGATTGTTGCTGCGCTGTCGGAAAGAGGCAGAAAAAGTTGCGGACGAGGCGTTTTCGCGTAATGTCCTTCTTGCCTGAGCTGATTTCGCCAAA